ACAGGGCTGTTGTGGTGGGGATAAGGTGGAGCAGGAGAATGATGTAAGCTGCCTTGAGCCCTTTGTAGGAAAAAGGCAGGATATAAATCCATAAATAAATAAATAAATAAAATGGAAATAGCACCTAAAAAAAAAAAAGCCAGATCAAACAAAATACCTGCTATGGTGCTCCTGAATTAAACAGCAGCAGCAGCTCTGGTAGAAATGTTGCAAAGCAGCAAAGCAAAGTATTTAGCTGAAAGCTGGTTAAGTGGAGAGACAGAAACAGAGGCTGCAGTTTAACAAGATTAATCCCTGTTGTTTTTGGTAGAGAAATTGTGCTGAAAATCAAAACAAGAAAGAGGCAAAGAAAGGGTGTGCATGCGCACAACTTCCACCAAAGCATTTTAAACACTATCTAAGAACTCTGGCAGTTGTACAAAAAAGTGGCTGCACAGCTATGAGATGTTTATAAGAGTGGAATAAAGATGAATGATGGCCCTGCGCTACCTTGCAGGGCTGTTGTGAACTGCTCTCTCTTGGACACAGCCTCTGCAGCGAAGGGGCGATAATATGCACCACGGGCTTCTCAACGTGAAGCATTTACTCTGCGCTGGCCTTGTGCTACTGACGGCTTCGAGCAGTGGTGGCGAACCTATGGCGCATGAGCCGGGTCACCCCGGCATCGCCCACGCAGCCGAGCATCGGACAACAGTGCACACAGGGGCCATGCGCATGCTCGGAAGGGAGTCGTGGAGCCAGGCGATGACGTGACAAGGGGCGACTCATCCGGGCTTTGGCATGGCCGCTTAGTGTGCTGCCAGGGGCATGTATATATTTGCTTGCACTGACCGTTTTCAGGTTTTATTTCAGTGTTGGCACTTTGCGATAAGTAAGTGGGTTTTGGGTTGCAATTTGGGCACTCGGTTTCTAAAAGGTTCGCCATCACTGAGTTAGGGTTAATAAAACAAGGTGTCCTGGCATGACTTTGATGGTTCGAATGTGTTCGGAAAGGGCAAAAAGGATGAGCAGTGCAGGAAAAGCCACTCAAGGAAGGCTTTTTCAAAATCGCCCTTTTTCAGTGGAACTTTCACCCCCTATTAGGGTTAGGAGTGTGCACCAGGGTAGGGTTAGGGTTAGGAAAACGAGGTGTCCTGGCACGATTCTGAGGGTTGGAACATGTTTAGAATGGGCAGAAATGATGAGCTGCGCAGAAAAAGCTACTCAGGGAAGGCTTTTTCAAAATCGCATTATTATCAATGGAACTATAGCCCTATATTAGGGTTAGGGGTGTGCACCAGGGTAGGGTTAGGGTTAGGAAAACGAGGTGTCCTGGCACGATTCTGATGGTTGGAACGTGTTTAGAATGGGCAGAAATGATGAGCTGCGCAGAAA